GGGGGCAGGTGGCTTGGGGAAGGGGCTTGGTGAGAGGGTTTGGAGGGGTTTGGCTGCAGGAGGTGAAGCTGAGAGCATCGTGGTCCCTGTCCATGCTTTAGTCCCCGAGGTCTGGTTTTGGGGGCAGTGTCCTTGTTCCATGGTGCTGGCGGAAGTATGGGGCTGTCCCTTGGCCAGCCCTTTCTGCCAGGGGAGCTGCTGCCTGCTTGCTGCAGCCCCTCAGGTGGTTTTTGGCTGTCCTTCTCTTACTCCCTGGGAAAGGCTCACTGAGCACAGCCAGCAAAGAGGGGAGCATCAGGGGCGGCCCCAGGGGAGAGCCCATGAAGGCAACGAGGAAACTCCCTCCATACTGTGCCCCATGCCCCCTTCCATTGCTCCTCTGGCACCCTAAAACTCCTGGGTTGGAGATGGGGAGAGGCAGAAGGCAGCCAGTGCCACCTCTCAGCGTCTCCTCAGCATGCCCATGGACCAAAGTGCTCCTGACACTAAGCGAAGGAAGGAGTGGCAGATTAAAGCTGAGTGGTATGTTTTTTCCTTTCCTTCCTTTTTTTTTCAATCTTTCCTTAAGTGCGAACACCATCTGGCTCCCCCAGCTCCATCAGCGCTTCCAGTCCCCAGGCAGCTTCGCTCTCCCTAATTACTGTCATTAGGCAGTGGGTAGCAATTAAGGAGGGATGCTGATGAGCAGCATCAGGAAGGCTGTGCTCCCCAGCAGCCTCATGCAGGGGGCCGGGTGGCCTCTCCTCCCCAGTCCAGGGCCTTTTCCAGCTGGGAGCTTGGTGGGGAGCACGGGGGGTTCTGTTTTGGTAGAGGCTGATGGGGAGGGATGGGCAAGGGAGGTGCCAGCTGGGGGTCCCAGGGAGTACCGGGGGAGGCCTGACAGCACCGGCGATGGGCTGCTCCGCCTCGGTAGAGTTGCTCGGTGCTGCTGGTGAAAGGAGCAGCACCTCGCTGCACCCCACTGAGTCTCTGGTTGTCCCACCGCTCCATGCCTGCTCTGCCCACAGTGTCCAGCCACCGAGGAACATTTCTCATGGGCGGCCCAGAGGCCGTGGTGATGGGCTGTGTAACCGGATGGAGTCATGCCCAACTGCCACCCTTCTGCCTGGCCAAAGCGGGGCTGGCCACCAGCCTGCCTGGCTCGCATCGCTGCCCTTGGGCATTCACCCCTCCGGT